CCTCCCCCCGCCTCACTCTCCTCCTCCTCCTCCTCCTCCTCCTTTTCCTCCTCCCGCTCCTCCTCCTCCTTCTCCTTTTCCTTCCGCCTCGTTGGTGAATGTATACAGGCTAATTTCCCGGTCGGAGACATCCATGTCGACGAAGACGGATATTCGAGCCAACTTTCAAAACCTATTGCAACGTCATCGATCACCTCCTCCTCCTCCTCCTCCTCCTCCTCCTCCTCGTCGACGTGCATGTATCAAACCGCAAATTAGCTTTTATGCTTTTTCCATAATCATAAGGGTGCGTTGTGTTCGGGGCGACGATAGCAATGATTTCCCCTCGTGATCCCAATCATTACCCCGATCATTATCGTCTTCCCCCTGACCCCAACGCACCCATGATGAAAGCTAATTACCTTTCATCATGACTGTACGTCCACGATATGATGAGGGTGCATTGTTGTGTTGGGGGGAAGACGGTTGTCTTATACGTCCACGTCATCAATGGATAATCTCCTTGTTTAATGAATTAATGAATTAATGAATGAATGAATTAATTAGTGATTAGTAATTACATTTTCACCTACTTTTCCCGCCACGTCGTCAATTCTCTCTTAGCTGTGCAGGCACATTGATGATAATGACGTCATCAATGGTGTTCGAAGATGGTCAGAGTTATTTTCCTTGACGATCTCGACCTCCTCCTCCCACCTCTCCATACACCTCTTCTCCTTCTCCCCCATCCCTCCCCCGTCCTTCCCCCCTCTGTGCCCCTTCCCTCCTCTTCCTCATAATCTCATTACTCATTACCATCATCATCATCATCATCACCATCAATATAGTCATCATCCACATCATCATCCACATCATCATCATCATCATCATCATCATCATCATCATCATCCGCATCGTCATGATAATGATGATGATGATGATCATCATCAACCGTCCACATCAGGAAAAGGAGATTCTCCTCTTTTTCATTCATTTACGTTTCATCATCATCCAAGTGTATCAGGACCATACTTATGTCCTGATGCATTTACGTGAACATTTTCCATGAGCCTGAACTGCCTATCGACCAGGCATAAACGTCTCATCATCATCATCATCGTCGTCGTCATCATCGTGATCATCATCATGATCATCATCATCATCATCATCATCGTCCTTTTCAATCTCCTCTTCTCATTCATTTACGTTTGGCGGAATGATGGGTTTGCTCTTTTGGGAGAGACGAGCGAGACGACGAGGAGGAGGAGGAAGAGGACGAGGAGGAGTGTAAGGTGGAGGCAGAGGAGGAGGAGGAGGAAGAGGTGGAGGAGGAGGAGGTCAAGGGAGAGGAAGAGGAGGGGGAGGTCGATGAAGAGGTGGAGGAGGAGGAGCTGGTTGAGGAGGAGGGGAAGGAGATGGTCGAGGAGGAGGAGGAGGAGGAAGAGGAGGAGGAGGGGGAGGAGGAGGAAGAGGAGGAGGAGGGGGAGGAGGAGGAAGAGGAGGAGGAATGGTCGAAGGTGATAGAGGAGGAGGAGGAGGAGGAGGAGGAGGAGGAGGAAGAGGGAAGACGGTCGAGCGGGGGTCAACCCGTGAAGGGCATAATGCTCGTAACGATCAGACTTTCCTAATGTATATGCTCACGATTGTGATGAAGATTCAGTGAAGTCATTTTTTTTTTTTCTCTTTTTACTTGAAACAAAACAAAAAAAAACTTTGTTCAGTCGAGAACGTCTTAGTGTGAGTACTTTTTTTTTCGATTTTTTTTTCCTCCGTGAAAGCTTCTCGAGATTTCCGAACCCCCTTTCAGAAATTCACCGTTTTTTAATGTTTTTGGTAATTTTCAGAAATTGCAGTCTTCCGCGAACAAGTTTTTTTTTTTTTTTTTTTTAAATTTAAAGAGGGGCTCCGATTTATTCGTGGAGAGAAGCTCAGCAGGTAAAGTTAGGGCCTTGCTCCACTACAAAACATTCAAAGTGTATCTGGACCTGACGTATGTCCTGATGCGTTCAAAACTTTGGAGCCGTCCGAATGCATCTGGTCGACAGGCAGTTCAGGTTCATGGAAATTGTTGTGTACTGGAGCGCGCTCCTTATTGAGAACGCTTGCCAAAATCCAGAGGAGGAGGAGGAGGAGGAGGAGGAGGAGGAGGAGGAGGAGGAGAAAGAACGGAAATAAAGGAAGAGATGACGAAAAAAATTCTTGAGGAGGAGGAGGAGGAGGAGGAGGAGGAGGAGGAGGAGGAGGACGAGAAAGAACGGAAATGAAGGAAGAGATGACGAAAAAAATTCCCGCCAACTTTTCCCGCCAAGGAAAAGGAGTAACACCCTGATGAGAGAACAACGAAAAACGAAACGACACATCAAGATTTGTCCAGAACTCTTTCCCGCCAAAACAGAGGGAGGAGGAGAAACACCCTGATGCAGAGGATGAGGAGAAGGAGCAAACTGTGGAGCAGGAGAAGGGGAGAGGAGGAGGAGAAACACCCTGATGCAGAGGATGAGGAGAAGGAGCAAACTGTGGAGCAGGAGAAGGGGAGAGGAGGAGGAGAGAAAAGGAGGAGGAGAAGGAGAAAAGTGTGGAGGGGGGATACCATAGGCGGAGGAGGAGGATGAGGATGAGGAGGGGAAGGAGAGAAGAGGAGGAGGAGAAGGACCAGAGGCGAGGAGGAGGAGGAGGAGGAGAAAAGTGTGCGAGGAGGACCAGAGGCGGAGGAGGAGGAGGAGGAGGATGAAGAGGAGAAAAGTGTGGAGGGGGGAAAATACCAGAGGCGGAGGAGGGTGAGGATGAAGAGGAGAAGGAGAGTAGAGGAGGAGGAGAAGGACCAGAGGCCTGGAGGAGGAGAAGGAGGAGGAGGAGGAGGTGGTGGAGAAAAGTGTGGAAGGAGAAGGACCAGAGGCGGAGGAGGAGGAGGAGGAGAAGGAGAGAAGCGGTGGACGAGGAGAGAAGAGGAGGCGGAGGAGAGAAGAAGAGGAGGAGGAGGAGGAGGAGGAGGAGGAGGGTGACGAAAAGTATTTCCCGCCAAAATAACAAAGAAAACCCTTTGGATGAGAAAAATGAAAGAAAGAACAAATCGAAAATCATCTCATCATTTTTCTCCCGCCAAATCCTCTCCCTGCAACTTTTCC